CTTCTCTCTGTACAGAATGGAGGCATATTTTCACTCCATCTTTCTTTCAGGGTTGTGGCATAGTTCACCAGTGAACTTGGATCAGATTGGGCCTTTGAAGGCCAGAGATCACTTCTGGGTTGATTTGAAGTAAGCTTAAAAAGCTGGTATGATGACAAATAGTAAGTTAGCAATTGCCATACATGAAGCATTACATCCCAAGTGTTGGATGAGTTTTTTGTGCACAGTAGAGGACTTACACAAATAGGGATTGTGTCTGTCTTGTTCACTGCTCTCTGCCAGTGTCAGGAATGGTACTTAGCATATAGCAGGTGCTTAATAGGTATTTTAAAAATGAATGTATACCTTGCTCATTCCATCATCCTGGCAGCCCTGTATATGGGTGTATTATTTGCCCAATGTACAGAGGATGATACTGAGGCACAGAGAAGTGAAATGACACAAGAGAGGTAGTGGAAAAAGTACATGGATTCTGAGTCAGACTTTCTGGGTGCAAATCCTAGCTTCTCCATTGCACTCTTGCCTTTTGCTTGATTTTTTCTGGATCTCCTCATTGTTCAATGGAGATATTAGGAAGGGCTAGAGTAAAAACTAAATGAGGCAATGAAACAAGATTCAGTTTAGCACCTGGCACATAGTACGTGCTCACTATGTCATTGACACCACCCAGGACTCACAGGGAGACAAGATTGGGGACTCCAGAGAACCCAGACCTGCTCAACACCCATGTCTTCATCATCAACACTCTCTTGCCTCCTCCCTTTCACAAATTCTGTGACACTCCCTTTTATAAGCCTCACAATCTCCATATTCTTTTGTCTCCTTAGCAGTTTTTTGTTGACAAGAGTATGTGGCCCAGGCTAGAGGGGAAAAAAGAGTCACAACCTTCTCCTTGGTCCAGCTTCAGTCTTGATCAGTCCCCTTCTAGATCCCCTCTCCAGTTATGGGAGACTTGATAGAGGGAAAAGATTTGGCCAAACCATGGGACCACCAGCCTCTCTGCCATCCAACCCCTCCTCTGTGCTGGCAATTGGAGTAAGCTTCCAAGGCACAAGCCTTGGTTCATTCCAGCTCCCTTTCCTCCTAATTGGGCTACATTCCTATGCCATTTTCCAATCAGATCCTCAGTTTTCCCAACTTCAAATTGGGGATAGTAATTTTACCCACCAGAAAAAACTGTTATCATATCAAATGAGGAAAAAGCTATGACAAGTATGTGACAGTGCCTGAACCTTGCCACCAGCCATCTCAAACTGATGAACTCCTACCCATCCTTCAAAGCCCAGCTCAAATATTCCTTTATTGGTAAAGCCATCTCAGACATCAAGACATGGTCTGACCCTTCCTTTGTGATCCCACTTCACATCATACTTGCTTCTATCATTGTCAGGAGTGATATTCAAAATATTCAACAACTGGTTGTCTAAGTACTGGCCAAGCCAAAGTTGACTTTGACATCAAAGGTGTCACGTTTTAGAGGCTGTATGTGAGAAGGTCCCAGAGGTATTGGAGGAGGAAGGGATGGATGGATTGACTGGGGTAGTCACAGGTCCTATTTACCAAATGGCATGCAAATATTTGAATATTTTAGTAAGCACAGGACATACTGGTGCTCACAGACTCCTAACTGTAACACTGTCACACTGTTCTGCAATGTTCTGTTAACACCTGGACCATGAGCTCCAGTTCTGCAAGAGGGCTTTCTTCATCTCTCTGCCTCTCAGTGCCTTGAGCAGAGGTGGTAGCACAAAGACAAGTACGGTGAATGAGTTCGTAAAGTGTACACCATCTCATTAGGACCTTTCATTTGGATTTAAAGTGTGATTAAGCAAGAGAGCCTCTGATTTCTTTTAGCTCACCGACTAAGATTTCAGTTAAGATTCAAGCCCCGCATTTGCGTAGTCATATATGCAAATATATGCAAATAAGCTCTCTTGATGTAATGTAGCCATCCTTGAGTTTTTAAAGACCTTTGCAGATGAAGTGTCAGGAGCCATGGCCATGGAATACCTTTCACTCTCAGGTTCCCACCTCCAGATCCCTGTATCTTAACCTAGAATTCTATCTCAACCCCCACCTCCAATCTTCATTTCTCCTTTTCACTGGGTAAATACTTCCAGGTTGTCACCTTCTCTACCTACCTCTGCCTGTTGACTCTCCACCCCATCTAAGCATCACTGCTGTGCATTGCACCTCACTGTTTTTACCTTGCCTGTCTCCCCACCAATAGCAGGCAAAAACTGTTTCTTTCCTAGTCATTGGATTCACAGAGCCAAGTCTGAGCCTGGCCATTTCTAGATATTCAGTGAAGCTGATAGACTTTCATGAATGATTGACAGCTGACTTAATGCAAATGACTTTGCCATTATTTCTTAAAGAGAGAAAAATCTTAGGTTTCCCAGGATACTTGGGAAGCATTTGATGCAACCTTTCCAGCTCTGTCATTGTAAGAGGGAAGACGAGAAAGGGCTGAGCATGGGAGACACTAGGGAAACCAGATTTTAGGGGGCATCTGATGCCACTAAGTGCCAAGTAACTATGAGTGGGGTAGGCATAGCCATTTTTGGATGTAGCCATCATGTAGGATGGAGTATCAGGCTGAAGTTCCAGCTTAGCCATTGAGTTGCTGAGTCTGGATTTATACTACAATTACTACAACCTCTACTGTTACCATTGCTTTCTCCATTTCTGCTGTTATGTTTCTGTACCACTAGCAGCAAACACTACATAGCATTTACCACTCACCTACCAGTATCCTAAGCTTCTAGTCACATTAAGTCATGGCCTTTCCATAAAATATTATGAGATAGTTCTCACTATTATTCTTGATTGCTCGATTTTGAGGAAACAGAGACACAGAGAGTGGAGGTACTTCACTCAAGGTTCCACAACTAGTAAGTACAGAGCTGGGATCTGGAATGTTGTTTTCATAACACCTCTAATATTCACTGAGTTATGCCCCTGGGCCAATTGCTAGGCTCAATGATTCTCTTGAAGAAGAGACTGTTGTTATCTATTTATTTATGCATTTTGCATATGAGGAAACTGCATCTCAGAAAGAATTTGACCACATAATCATAACTCCCTGTTTTGAGGGACTCTACCTTGCCATTGCCCATGTAAGTCATTTCTCTTCTGTGGGTCTCAGTTTCCCTTTTTGGCAATCAAAGCAGTATAGGAGGTGAGCTCTTAGAGCCTCTTCCTCATAGATTTAGAGTTTTAGATTTCAGCTCTTTTGATGGGGTCTGGGCTCATGGGGGACACCAAGGATCTCACTCCCAAGCCATAAAGAACTTGGACGTTTCAGGAAAGTAAACTTCCAACAGCTAAGCAGGTAGCTTCACTGGCTGGTCCAGCATCATCTTGACCGATGTGAGCTTAGGAACCATCCCCAGCTGGTAAGAATGTCTAAGTCAATTGCTACTGATGGCACTTTGTAGCAAAGGACACTGAGGACTTCTAGATGGGCTGCCACAAATGCCATGACCAGGGAGACTAGGCAGCCCTTGCTTACTAAAGACCATTCATCAGCTTCTTGTTTCTCATCTTTCAAATTTTCTTTTACCTTTGCCACAATGCCTCTGGAGTCAAGTGAAATAATCACACTCATTTCCCAGTTAAGGAAGCTGACATTGATTGGGGAGGGAAATAAAATGATTAGTCCAACCCAGTTAAGACTCAAACCCAGGTTCCTGGGCTCTCTGCCAATAAAGGGAATCCACTTTTTGGGAGATTTAGAGAGGAGAAGATGGAAGTACGCATTTGCCACCTGCAAACTCTCAGTAACATGGACACCTTTATGATGGGTAGAATTGGGGGTGGTTGTAAACAGGCAGAGGATTTGAACAAAATTACACCTGGTGGTTCAATGTGCCTTAATTGTGAAGAAGAGTTTCTCAGAATGCACTGCTGATAACTATTGTGTCAACCAGGTCTTGCTGTTGTTTATCATTGCTTTCCCTTTCTTGACCTTCCCACAAGCAGCTCTGAGCTTTTCCTTGCTGCCACCTCATCCTTTTTAAGGGAGTAGGTTTTTTTCACAGCCATGGGCTACCATTGTTGGCTGTGTGAACAATGACTTTCTTCCTCTTTGTTACTTTGGAGTCTATAAAAGACCTTCACGTACTTATTAGAAAGTCCCAACAATCCTAGATGGAAGTGGTATTACTTCCAGTTTATGGAAGAGAAGACTGAGATTACGCAACTTGCTCAAAGCCACACAGCTAAGAAGTAGCAAAACTAGGACTTAAATTCAGATTCATCTTTTTGTACCTCTCACTCCTAGTCTCAAACTGCCTGAAGCCACATTCCAGCTCCTCTTTGTGGACCCTGGGATTGTTGAATGATTCTGAATAGAATCAGGACTTGGATTTACTCTCGTCTTGCTTTGTGGATTTACCTCAAATCTTAACCTCTTTGAGCTCTGGTATTTCTGTCCCATCTAGGAGAGGGATGTGTGATAGACGTTGTGCCCTCAATTCCCTGAGATCATGTGTGGACACAAGAGAAGACCCAGGTCAAGTGCTCTGAGTTCCTCAGTGGAAAATTCTTATGGAAATTCAAGGTCACATTTGTAGTGGAATCAAATTTCAGATGTTTGACCAATGCTAGACTAGCTGGTATGAAAGATGCAGTCTTCGTGTAACAACTAGACTGCCTTTCTCCTATCAAAGACCCTCTCTCCCTCCTCCAAAGAAGCTTCCTACGATACCTCACATATGGATTCCTGAGGATGTAACTCTGGAGACCGATATTTATTTTTAAACATTGTACTGATAAAAGAGCCTGAATTTTTTTTACCTTGCTCCCTCAGCTCCCCCATGTCCTCAAGCCAAAACCTGGTGAATAACCATTTGGTTAATCAATAGTAACATCTGGAGCCAGTGGGATATTTTGGCCAAAACTGAATTAAAAAGTATCATACACTGCCCTGAACTCGTGCCTCCACCTCCCCCAAGTGTCGTGGCAAGGCTGGCAGAGGAGCTGTGCAGAATACTTACTACACCCCTGGCTGACAGGAAGCCAAGCATCTGGAGGGGCTGGCTGGGTGGATGACTGGACCGGACCTCGGGGCTGGCCTTGCAGAGGGTCTTGGAGCAGCGGCGGGAGTGCCTTCGGCGGGACTTCCGCCCTTCCTGGGGAGACCGGCCTCGATGTCTGGAGATGGGGAGAGAGAACTGAGGGTCTTTTGAAGGTGAGCATGGCAGAGAGTGGGATGAGGGCTGACATTATCTGAGAATGACAGAGTTTGTTTGGGTGTATTTTTGCATAGTCATGATTCTTTCTGAATGTGTGTGTCTGAAAGTTGAATCTTGTGTATGTCCATCCATCTACCCATTCATTTATCTATATATACCCATTCATCCATCTGTCCATCCACATAGTCACCCATCCACTCAGTCACCCATTCATTCATACATGTACTCATCCATCCATCCATCCATCCATCCATCCACCACTCCACCCATTTATCCACCAATCCATCCATCCATCTACCCGCTTACCAATCCACCCACTCACTGACTCACCCACTCACCTATACAGTCATCCATCTATCATTTATTTATTCATCATTCTCTCATTTGCTCATTTAACAAGTGTTTATGGGGTGCAGGTGTGAAGAGAAAAGAAGTCTGTTCTTTGATTCGATTTAATGCCCCTCATGTGTCTGTGTGATTGTTTTGTGACTGTGTGTATGTCCACACGTTTGTCTACAAATGTAACTGTGTGTCTTTGTGTATGTGGCTTTGCCATTTGTGAAATGGACCTATCCTTTGAGTGTCACCCAAGACTTTGGGGGAAACATGGCTGACAAAAAATGACAGTAATGCAAGCTTATCAGGTCTAGATCTGACTACCTTGTCTGCAGTGGAAATAAAGGCATGTTTGACCGCTTACAGTAGCTACCATTGATCTCTACATAACTAGAAATAACTGTATGGGTTTGCACAAACCTCAAAACACCCCTCTAACGGTATTTCATGGTCCTCTCTACAACCTGAAGGCATAGACAGGGCAGATATTACTTTCCCATTTTATAGATGAGGGAGCTGAGGCTCAGAGATGTTTAGGATTCTGCCTGAGGTCACATAGCTTAAAACTGGCAGGGCCAGGGCAGTGTTTTTGCATCTGTAAGGAAATGGCTCCAGGTCTTGCTCTGGACTGTCTCTCTCTGCTCTGAGGCTTTCAGATCATTCTTCTACTGGGTGTGTGATTCATGTTGCAGGTCTCAGTTTACTCCCAGGTTCTCTAGAGAGTCCCTCAGCCCAAGAGGCAGTAGGAAGCTCTGGTGTGAACCCCACCAGGAAACAGGACAGTAGGAGGAGGCTTTGGGATGGCATCTGCTGGGGTTCTGCATAATCCTCTGACCCCAGCCAGTGGGGCTTAGCCACTGAGAGCCAATTCCACATAGGTGGCAATGGAGGCCCAGCCTCAGTCATCAGGCTGAGTCTCTGTCTATAAGACATGTTGGCATGAATTTAGCGTGGGATTGGAGGTTGGGCCAGGTGGCTTGGTGGAGCCATGAAAGGACTGGAACTTTTGTCTGGATTGGATGCAGGGTAATTCTATCACTGGGCATGTGCATCAGCCTTCTCTAGAAAGAGAGAATTGGACCAAGGTTAAGGTTGTGATTGCTGGAGAAGCAGCAGCCACTTCCACTACCTGGGATGGAGAAGTTTGACCATTTATGTGTTTTGGACAAAGTTCTCATTTTTGTCTTGGCTCAGACCTGCTCACCAAGGGGTCTTGTTTTTGTCTTGGTCAATCAGTGCCCATTGTGGCCTTGTCTGATGGTGCCATTTACTGCTGTTGTTCAGCAGAGATGCCGTGGTCTGCTCATGGTGGGAGATGTTATGGCCTCACTCTCTCCTTTTCCTTCTGCTTCTTCCTCTCTCTTGCACGGAAGAAGCCCCTAACCTTCTGGGGCAGCCAGTGTAACAGCACAGAGATGTCTGAGTTAAGAGATAGCTGATGTGGAAGGATCTCAGAACTTGGTACTTAGTGCAGTATGGCTTTTCATAGACAACTCAGCATCTTAGTGCTTAGAGCATCCCTAGTGAGAATGCAAGGTCCAGATCCAAACTCTGGTTTCAACATTAGCTCTTAGTTTCTCAGTGACTCTTAGGCTCTTTAAACCCCCTGTGCCTCAGTTTCCTCACCTTCACAATGGGAATGACAATAGTACCTCCCTCAAAGGGTTGTGGAGGGGACAGATAAGCAAAGTGCATGTGTTAACTTGTGCTGCTGTCATTCCTGTACATGAGGTGGCCAAGCCCCTTCTGTCTGCAGCACTTTCTCTACAGGACAGCAAAAGATTGCTTGAGAGCAGACAGGGTTGGCCCCAGCCCACCACAGAGACAAAGCTGGTGGTCACCAACATTTTAAGCTGGGCTTGGACACTGGCTGGGATGAAGCAGCTCTGTGGGGGAGGGGTTACCTGCTCTCACAGCTGGAGGAGCGGGACTCCGAGCTCTGGGACCTTGAGGGGCAGTGGTGGTGGCGGTGGCGGTGAGACTTTCGGGGTCTGCTTCTTGATCTTGGGAGGATGGGGGTTGTGGGGAGAGAGAGAGAGAGACAGAGAGAGAGAGAGTTTTAATCCGCTATACTCATATCCTTTTGTACCCGAGCAGTCAAGGTATAAAGGTGAGCACATCCTGCATTTTGCAAACCCCAGCTCTCTGCGCGGATCTTCAGGGGTCTTTACCCTGCCGTACTGAAGATAGGGTTTGTGGGGGGGTGGTGAGGAGGCAAAGGGATTCCTCTTGAGAAAGCATGGATGACTTAGGACTTGCCCACCCTGACTCATGCTAGAAGCAGGCCTGGTGCAGACCATACCCTTGTCAGAAAGCCACCCTTGCATGTCAACTGTCTCTCTCCTAAGGTAGGAGTCTGCATTTCACACAGTGTCAATCAGGAACCATAAATGTGGGAATCAGTTAGGCACTAAAAAAACAAAAAATACTGACCAAAAGCCTGGGCTGAAATGGAAAGGGCTGTTTTGCCTCCAGTGTATTGGTGTGCTGGGTTTCCTGATGTTTCAAGAAAATGTGGAAATGCAGATTTTTCTCTCTCTCTCTTTTTTTTTTTTTTAAATATTACTAGGGTTTGAATTCAGGGCCTACACCTTGAGTCACTCCTCCAGCCCTTTTTTGTGAAGGTTTTTTTTTGAGATAGTTGCCTGGGCTGGTTCCAACTGTGATCCTCCCGATCTCTGCCTCCCTGAGTAGCTAGGATTACAGCTGTGAGCCACCGGCACCTGGTGAGATGCAGATATTTTAAGGTAAAGTATTCTTGTCTTAAATGGAAGCTCATTTAAAATAAGACACCTTTTGATACAAATAAAACACACTTGCAGAGTGAATTAGGCCTTAAGGCTCCCAATGTGTAACCTCAGACCTGGAAAATTAAATTCGGATCCTTCTCATGGAGCCAAAGGCCTTCCAAAATGGACGGCAAACTTCATCAACAATGACAGTTACGACCACCACTACCACTAATGGCATTACTACTGGCTTCTTTGGCTCCTTATGAGAAATAATAGCAGTCCATAAGTAGTAGTGGTGTGGCAAGGAATAAGGAGGCACAGGAATGTCAATGTTTGGGAAGCCAGTGGGATTTAGCGATGGTTCTGTCCAGTGGTAGTCTAGTTATCACAGGAAAGGACTCAGATTCTTCTGATGCAATCATCAGGCTATATTCCTCCCCTGCTTCAAACCTCCCCAATGCCCTCACATAACATCTAAACTGTGACCTTTTTTTGGCAGCACTGGAGTTTGAACTCAGGGCCTCACGCTTGCTAGGCAGGTGCTCTACCACTTGAGTCACTTCACCAGCTTTTGTGTTGGGTGTTTTTGAGACAGGGTCTCTTGAACTATTTGCCTGGGCTGGCTTTGAATCTCGATCCTCCTGATCTCTGCCTCCCAAGTAGCTAGGATTATAGGCATGAGCCACCTGCACTGTGACTTTGAACTTCAAGCACTTCATGAAGCTAGCCCGTGCCTAGCTCTCTGGGCTCACTGAAGTTGACTTCTAACTCTGCTTGTATTCTGGCTTACATATTTCCCAGTTTGTGATGTCCTGTTGAGGAGGATGAGGATGACAGTGCTGATGATGACAGGTCACCTGTATTGAGCACATACTCAAGCCAAGCACTGTGTTCTAAGCATTTTCCTTCAATGAAGTCGTTGATCCCTCACAACTTAATCAGTCCTCTCATTCTCATTTTACAGATGAAAATACTGAAGTCCAGAGACTTTGAACCTGCAGCCTGGAATGGTTTCCATCTAGCCTCACCTCCAGCCTGGACATCCCTTCCTGAGGGACTCCAACCTCACCAAGCCCTCTTTCTGGCACCAGCATTCCCACCTTCCCCCCACTGAAGTCCCATGTCTGTCCCCTGTGCTGGCTGCATTGTGGTCTCTCCAGACCAAGAGAATGTCTGCTTGCCCTAGTGCTCAGGATAGAGCTGCTCCACACTAGGGCTCCACCCAGGCATGTTAAATAAAAGGAAGCTGACCCGCTCCAGTGATCACTTGCTTAGAAGCAGCTCTGGCCATGGACTTGGTAAAAAGAAATCATTGTTTGTCCTACGGGGTCCCCTGCTTTTCTTGCTCTTGTCTCTCCTGCTTCTGCTCTTGTAGCTTGCACAAGAAATTGTTCTGCTAGCAATTTCTGGGGCTCACCCCACTCTTGAAGCTGGGGAGGGAGGTCACCTCAGGACTACCATTGTCTTTCCTGTTGCTCCTGTGGCTGCCTGTCTGTAATTCCACTGGACTAGTGATACTGAGATCTCTGAGAAAATACACTCTGTCTTGGTTTAGCATGAAAACATACTCTCTCTCTCTTTCTTTCTCATGAGACTTATAATTTTTCCCTTGATTTTAATTGAACAGGCTTGATACTGGAGAAGTCCTTCCCTGGTCTAACTAGAGGCTCCACTTCTTCCTTTGGGAGTGTTTCCAAGGTTTTCATGATGATGGATGCACTGACCTTGAATGAAGGTCAAGGCCCTTTCCAGGCAGCCAAGCTGGGCAGCCTCCCTCTGTGCTCCTGCTTCCTTTTTTCCCTCCCCAGAAGTGACTACCTTTCATCCTATTATCTTTGATCCTGTCTTTAGAAACATCTTGGCGGGAGATAAAATATTAGTTGATTGGAAATTACACGCACTAACATTTTCAGGGTATAAAGTAGGTGGGTTGTAACCAAATTTACTTTTAATTTGGTTGGGAAGCGAACTCCACAGGCATTGCTGGCTGATTTGAATTTCTACTACCAGCTATAAACCGTGAAACAGCTGGAGCTCCGAGACTGAGGATAAGAGCTTCGGTGACAGCTCCCTACTGTAAACCCAGTAACCAAGGCACAGACTCACACACATGTTCGCACACACGTCACACGCATGTTCCCCCCACAATCCATGCACACACAACACACACTTGTGCACAGATAAAAACCACCACAGCACTCCCCCCGTACATGCAATACCCACAGATAGAGAAACAGTCCACATACAGAGTGCATAGAATTTGTACACATTGGTCCACAGGGCATCTCTATGCATACATTCATGCTTGCACAAGCACAGGCACTCAAATGCATTATGGGAACACAAATAGACACTGTGTACACACACTATGTGCCAACATTGCATGCATTTGTGTAACAGGGTGCACAAATGTTTGCATGGTGGAAAAATGTACAGATATGTACCATGTACACATCTCATCATACACACTATATACAAATATCTGCACAATGCACACACAATGTACAGACACCAGGCATACACGTACACTGTACACTTACATACACCCATCAACACATGCATACACACCCCCTTTGCACAACCTGGTGCACCCATGCATACCTAAACCTACAACTTCAAGGGTACATAAGTTCTCTCTCCTTCCCTTGCCATCTTTCCCTTCCTTCATCCCCCTTGGCCACCTTACTTCTCCTCTCTTTCCCTGTTTATTTGATAATGAGTCCTCTGGCACTAAGAAGCCAGGTCAACAATTCCATAAGCTAAAGAGCATCTTCCTGGTGGTATGGTGTCTACTTACTGTTTTTTGTGCCTCTTCTCTTCCCTTCTTTTGCTTTTTGGGCTAGAGGAGCTAAATAAGAAATGGCCAATTAATTTAAAGATGAAAAAGAAAACCAAACTGCAGTTAAAGGTAAAAAATGACCAATTAGTTAAAATGCTTTGACATACAGTGGCCCACTAAATCCAGGAAGCTTGGGGTGGGCAGTGATCATTACCCCAAACCAGAGAAGCTGCTGCCAACTTGACCATGAAGCAGGTTAGGCTAGGGACAAAACGCACACTTGTGCTGAGGACTGAGAACGGGTGTGAGAATGTCAAGTTTGGCTTTGGTGGGTTCATGATAGCTATGGTAATAAGGGAATAGTAACAATATCTGAAAATTTTGAGACTTTATTACAGGCTAAATAATTTATGTCAACAATCTCATTTCATTGTTCCCACAACCTGTAGGTGGAGTTGCATTTTACTAAGAGACAATTTTATAGATGTAGAAACTGAACCTCCCATGGGCTTAGACACTTGCACAGAGTCACAGAAATGAGCTGGGAGGTGATCCCAGACCATGGGCCCCAGAACTCATGCTTTTGACTGCTGTCTCATGGGTTTATGAGAGAATTTAACATCCAAGGAGATAACCGAAGGCCTGTGGAGCTTGGTAGACTCTGAAATGTTCTGTTCATGCAAATTCAAGTATCTGGGCTTTAAAAATTTTGAGTGAGAGAATGGGATGGGTGTGGACAGAGACAATGATGACACAGGGTCCCAGTGTCATCACACGGAGGTCCAAGAGAGTGATTGCTGTTTGCCATTTCAAGTCAGATTAACCACAAAGAGGCATCGAGAACCCATCATTACTTAGGTCCTGGGAGAGGGGAAATTAATTTCATCCACAGGCATCACACCTGGGGGTTAGATCCAGGAATGACCCTCAGGTTGAGACTCTGCCCTTGTAGCAGAAGGGCCCAGAATTCCACTGAAAGATCCAAGTTCAAAACCCAGCTCTATTGCTTAGTTGCTGTGTGACATCAGGCAGATTAGATGACCTCTCTAAAACCCAATTCTCTCACCTATGAAATGGGTCCATATCTCAGGTTATGGGGCTGAATGGATGGAATCAATGACATTGGCCATCACTGTCTACTCATTAACAGTGGACACGGCTTTGCATCCTGTTCACTGCCCTAGATGTGGCTACAGTTATTGAAGAAGTCACTGTCATCTGTCCTAATCCTCTGTCTGACAGATCTGGGTTTGCATTTTGGCACTGAGACCACCTAGCTCTGTCTGTCAACATCCCTGTCACATCTCCTGTCTTAGTCTTGGTTTCTCCATCTGTAAAATAGGAACACATCTACTGCCCAAAACTGTGATATGAATTAAAGGGGATTGAAGACATCTGTGCATGGAAGGGGCTGAGTGCAGTTTCCCTAGTGTGGTGATAGCTTTATTATTGCTCCCCCGTGTTTCCACTATATACCAGGACTTGGCCTCTGTCCCTGCAACAGATCTGTGAAAGTTTTAGTGGAGTGATGGGGCAGATGTTTCTCTAGGTATCCCAACTCCAGATTTACATGAGAGGTAAATGGGATCTCCAGGAAGGAACATCCATAGAGTCTGGTCCAAGAACACCATCCATCCCCCATAGAGGTGGAGAGTGGCTTAGAATGATCAGGGAATCAATAGCAGTCAAGGCTTTCATTTTGAGGCCCAGGAAGATAGAAGGGGGATGCCCAAGAACACAGAGATGGAGGCTAAGAATGGTTCCCAGAGCTGGGCTGGGGAGGCAAAAAGCTGAAGAAGCAGCCAGAGGCAGCCAGATTCTTACCTGTGCCTTCTCTTCTTGGAGAATGACCTAGTTCAAATGAAATGAGAGAGAGGGAGGAGGAGAAAAGGGGAGGGGAAGACACAAGAAGGGAGGAAAGAAAGGAGGAAGGAAAGAAGAAAGGAAGGTGGAAGAGAGAAGAGAGGGGAGAGAATAAATACAGTGAGCTGGAGGTCTGCTCCTGGGATGAAAGTGTCAGTGTGTTGGTGATCATGCCACAGGGAGTCAGGACTCTGACGTCCCTCCTCCTCAATCATATTTCAAAGACTATGAAGGCCCCCTGGGAAACATTGGTCTGCACACTGAATTTCCAGGACAGTACTCCAAAATGCTCATCCAAAATCGTCAGCAAGCCTGTCCTGGACGAGATTTGATGAAGAGGGAATAAGAAGTCCTCTGTCTGCCTCATCCCCATGTTCTCTCTCTCTCTCTCTCTCTCTCTTTTCTCTCTCTCCTCTAGTTGTAGATTCCTCCCCATCATCACCATTAGACCACCAGCTTCCATATGTGGAGCTCCTGCTCTGTGTCAGGTTCGGTGCTGAACATCTATCACACACAATCTTAGTCCTTCTACCTGCAAACCCCATGGAGTATGGCAAAGGACCATTTTCCAGACAAGACATTGAAGTTTGGAAAAACTAGTTAAGTTGTTCAAGGTCACACAGCTTCATCTTGCAGCTTCCAATCATCTTGAGAGCTGCTCTCAGATGTTCTCTTCCTTTTGTAGTTTTCTGTAGAATTTTCTGAGCTGCTCGAGCTGAGTCTCTCTGCCCCCCAGTTCCTAGATGACTTTCTGAGCTTATCCTTAGGAGAGTACAGATGTCTCCAAATTATAATTACCCAGCGTTCCCACTCGCATGGGAATATGTTGAGGGTAGGGGCTGGGTTTTGGTCACTGTTCTGTTTTGGGGGTCCAGAGTCTTTATTCATGATACACATTGGGTGTTCAATATATAGATGTGAAAATGAGAATTAAATTAAAAAAAAACTCTTAAGCTTTGTGAATTAAGAGAAAGAAAAATCTCAATGCTTCACCCATCCCTAACTCTCATCTCAAAAAGTCAGCTATCCTTAACCAAATATTTCATGAACTTAGAGAAACTAGACCAGATTCAGGACGGGGCTCAGCAGGTGAGACTTTGGGCAGGACCAGCAATAGTATTTCCCTTCCTTGTCACCTTCTTATGGTCCCCTTCCCCTCTAAAGCTCCAACCATGGTCTTGCAGAAAAACCTTTTTTTAGTCTTTGGTATAATCTTTTTCTTATGAGAAAAAAAAAATTCTTGGGTGGAAAGCTACCTGGTTTCCAGAACCCAGATAATGGAAAAATCCCCCAAACTGGTAAGAGTTTCTCAGCATACACAGGTGACAAGATGGCAGTCTATTTATGATACCTCATTAGCATTTCACTAATTTCCCATGTCTTCTATTAACCACAAACACAGACAGAATCCATTGGAAAGCCTGGGCAAGTGGTGGTATAACCAGTGAGATATAAGTTTGAGAACATTCTAGCAGCATAAGCTGGGAGGTGGACAAATCACTGGATTAAGGAAAGCTACATTGGAGCTACTTTGAAGTTAGAGAAACAGAGGGAAAACCCAAATGACCTCTTACTTCTGGCACTATTGTTGTTTAATTGCACAAATAATCCACAATTGATGTAGAAGGATTGGAAGACACAGATAAGCAAAAATAAAATATAAGCCATTCTTATACCAACAGCTAACTGCAGGACTTGAATAGTATATGTCAATGACTGGAAATGGGTGGAATGCCCACTTTGTCTAAATGCATAACATCTACGACTGCCTGTGAGAACTGGCCCAAGAAAAATACACCTTCTTTCTTTACAGAGGAACTAAAATATGGATTTTTTGTATTGCAAAGTCTTCCAATTATAAAATGGTGACTTGGCTCATGAACCAAAAATTGGAGCCCTCTGGTATATATCCTCCCAATCTTCTCCTCTGTATGTGCATGCATGTGTGTGTGGGAACTGAACTTGAATCCAGTTCATAATACCTTTTCATTACTACCTCTGTTCCTCATCCACAAGGGTGAGTGACTGTCACGTTTTTCAACATGAACTTACACTCTAGGACATGGCTGAACCACATGACAGACCTTTCCTTGGGGAATTTAGAATTGGAAACAAGACCAGGAGTTCAATGTCTGCTTATGGCTTGGTCTGAAACATGGAGAGATCCGGCTGGGTGCAGCCTTGTCCTGTTATGTGGATCAGGAAGAATCCCAATGACATGAGATACTCCAAAAGATCTTTGGGTCTCCTGAGCCCTATCCCACCTGGAACATCCCTGTTGGTCAAGGAGGAAGCACAGTACCTGTGTCGCTTATGTTTCTTTGAACTTTTCTTCTTCTTTTTCTTGACAGGCGATGGGCTGTAGGATGGGGACCTGAGGGAAGGGAGACAGGCTTCAGAGGAGGGCTTCCAAAGGCCAGGGCTGGTTCCCAGGAGTCTGCTTTCCTGATATAAGGTCTCAGCTCTTCTAGGACCACACATCAAGGATAATCTCAATACTCATAGCAGCCTGCATTTGTTTTAAACATTATTTTATATGCGCTATCTCATTTAACACTTCCATGTACTTCTTAGGAAGGTACCATTGCTACTTTCCCTTTTCAGATGAGGAAAGTATGTTCAGAGAGGGCAAAGACATAGAGCTAGGAAGTGGGTGAGCTGGGATTCAAGTGGAGAGCTCTCTGATTCCCCTGGGGTTCGCTCACAGCTCACAGCTGCCCTCCTGGGCAGATCATAATGGTTTCTTCTTGTCTGCTGCTCTCCCTGCAAGCTATGCCCCTCTTCCTAGAGACCTCTGTGGGTCTCTCCTCCGCCCCACCCTGTTTTCTCCCAGATAAAATGGAGTGCCTGAAGGAGATATCACCAGACATCCACAGCCATGGGGGTGCCATCAAAGCGATACCTGAGAAACAGGTATCACACAACGTAGGTGATGGCTCAGACCTGAGTCTAAGGTGACCTGATTCCCAATCTTGACTACCACCAACTCGTGGAGCTGCCTTGGGAGCATCACAGCTTGTATTTATATCTACTTTCCCACTGGCAGAGCAGGGTTGAAACAGAGGTTGCAAACCCAATGCCAGCAGGAGCATCTCGCCTAACATAAATGTTGAAGTAGACTGAGTGAAAGACAGTAGGGAGTGGTGGGGACTGAGGAAACCAGAGAGTGCCTAACTGGCTGCTTCTCAGATCAGCTGCAGTCCGGTGTGGGAATGCAGACTCAGGCTTCCAAAACACCTGCTTTTCCATAGAAGATTTTTGAAATCTTCTTAATGTTAGCCACCAATTAAAAAGAAAAAGAAATTTGCAGGTCAAACAAAACATGTCATCAAAGAGAGATGACTAAAAACAAGAAACCTGGTAAGGAGTCACAATGTCAGTCCCCAAACATGCACTTGTGGATATTCATTGAATGAACAATTTAGTGAATTCCAGTGACTGAGTTTCTTGCCTTGAGTGTTCTGCTCACTCCTAACATCAAGAAACTCAACCCCCATCTCACCCTTTCAGCTAAAATGGCTGGAACTCAAGATTCTCACATACATTCTCTTCCTGGTCTTAGGCTAACTGGAGTGTCTTGTAAGCAAGGTCCAGAAAACTTGGAATTAAGGACCAAGTGATCTAGACGTTGCTCTCTGCTGCCTTCTGCAGGCTTCCATAAATACTACCTTGGAGGCTTGGTGTGGTTCTCAGCTCTAAGGGTTGTTAGGTTTTCTGGGACTGGTACACTGGACACACTTTTATTCTAGTTAGTAGTAATCTACAAGCAAATCAGGAAGGGTCTTTTAGCTGTGAAGAAATTTTAAAGAAATTGCATAAAGCACAAAAGAGCCTCTAGTAAGCAAATCATGTAATGCCTACCCATTAACGTGGGTATTGAACTTGGTAGGTGGGTAGTGTGAGAATCGAGCTCCTGTAGATTCTACCATCTCCGCCTGGAGCATTTCTCTTCTCATCTCTAAAATGGGGATAACCATGCTTGCCTCATAGATCATGGCCAAGAGTGAAACAGGTAATGACATAGTAATTCTTTCCACATCCGTTTCTCGTCTAATTCTCTCAAAATCCCAAGAGGTCGGTATTATTACCATTTTGCAGAAGAGGAAAAAGGCACAGAGAGGTGAAGTCCAAGGTTACACAGTTAAGAGGCAGAGATGGGATCTGAGCCCAAGAGGCAGTTACTGTCAGACTATGAAACGTATTCTATTCCTTTTCACATCATGAAGGTCTCATCTCCCCTAATGGTCCTCACCTCCTTCTCTTCTTCCGCGTTGATTTCTTCTTTTTCTTCTTCCCCCTGGAGGAAGGCGGTGGTGTCAAGTCTCTGTCACCAGAGGCACTGTGGAGAATCAAGAGTCAGTCATTAGAGAACCCAAGCTTCTCCAACCCCCTGATCAGGGCTGTTGCAGCCTGGGAAAGAAAGGGAAAGGACCCAGCTCCTTGGAGGATTAAGGACCCATAGCAAATACCTAATTACCACCTCATGGCTGATTTGGTCACACTTCAGATTAAGTGCCTCAAATAAGGACTTAATGCCAGCCTAATGAGACAGACACTGTATGCTACCCAAACACCAATTGATTATTTAAAACAGAGTAATAGAGGTTAACTACTCCTTAATAGATTTATTATTGAATTTGCAAATGACTCACCTCAGTAAATAAATCACTTTTTAAATAGTTAATTGGCAGTTCAGCCCCCTTTCTCTATGCAATCCACCCTGTCTACACTTCCTGCTGGAAATTTAATAGGAGGTAGAAGATATTTCAAGTAGCAGCTGATTATTAAAAGTATATTTGCTAGGTCTAATGTAATGAGATATACACCTTACATTGCCTTACAGATCCTCAAAAACCTCTGCTCTTCAGGAATAATTATTTCCCATTTGATTAAATTCAAATGCTCAGACTTTAGTTAAATGAAGTCAAGTTATCTTCTCTTATAATTGGGGCAGGCTCCAGGGATTATTATTTTTGTCAAAAAAAAAACCATTGTCCCATAACAAAGATGAATGACTTGTTGGAAATTGAAACATGTCAACCCAGTTGAATCTGACTAAAAATATAGCATCAATAATAATATTATTATTATTTTAGTAGCAACACAGCTAACAATTTAAGCATTTATTATATGCCAAGTGTTTTATGCTTTTTGATACTCACCCAAACATTTTGAGGGCGGTATGATTTTTATTGTCTCACTTTACAGGTGAAGAACATGAGGTTCAGAAAGTTGAATTGACAATAGCCCACACAATTAGGGGTTATTAGGATTTGAACCTATGTTGATTCTTGCCTTGAGAACTTTTCTGTCTCAAACTTGTTTGTGTGGCCTGTCAGCTGGAAATTACCCAACTCCACAGAGAACATGATAACATACCACCATATTTAATTTCATTTGAGAATCCTGATCAATAGGATGAGTACAAGATTGATACAGTGATTAGAATATGTGTGAAAATCTGTGCATCACATAATAATCACATGGCTACATACACAGTATTTTCCCATGAGTCACTTTTCCCAGGTTAAAAACAAATGTTAGCCAGGTGTGGTGGTGTACACGCCTGTAACCATAGCACTCAGGAGGCTGAGGCAGGAAGATGGAGAGTTCCATGTCAGTTTAGGCTACATGACAAGACCCTGTTTCAAAAAAAAAAAAAAACTAAAGAATAAAACAAAAATATAAACAAAACACAGACAAAATATACAAGCAAACTTGGTAAGAATTAAGACCTTGGTTACTTAATTACACTTACACAATATAAAGTACAAAGCCCAGCACACATGTCCAGGAAGTGAACAGGCCAATTCCAAATTTTTTTTCCGAAGAGTGTTTGACACACAATAAGAGTCTGATAAATATTTGTCAAGTGACCAAATAAGGGGTGAATGGATAAAATAATTTAACTACTTGTTAAATTAGATTACTTCATATAAACACTTCCCAGGGCAGCAGCTGCCAGGAATTTGAGGGGAAAAAGTTTAAGGGAAAAATACTTAAGGAAAAAAAAAAAACTCTTACAGAATATACAGGGACCTCAAAAAACTAAACTCCCCCATATCAAAGAGCCAATAAATAAGTGTGCAACTGAATTAAACAGAACTTTTTCAAAGGAAGAAGTCTAAATGGCCAAAAAACACATGAAAAAATGCTCATTATCCCTGGCCATAAAGGAAATGCAAATCAAAACCACACTAAGATTCCACTTCACATCTGTTGGAATTGCTACCATCAAGAACACCACCAACAACAAATGTTGTCAAGGATGCAGGGAAAAAGGAACCCTCATACACTGCTGGTGGGAATGTAAGCTAGTACAACTACTCTGGAAAACAGTATGGAGGCTTCTTAAAAGACTAAATGTAGACCTGCTGCATGATCCAGCAATCCCACTCCTGGAGATATGCCCAAAGGAATGTGACTCATGTTACTCCAGAGGCACCTGCACACCCATGTTTATTGCAGCACTATTCACAATAGCCAAGTTATGGAAACAGCCAAGATGCCCCACTACTGATGAATGGATTAAGAAAATGTGGTATTTATATACAATGGAATTTTACTCAACCATGAAGAAGAGTGAAATATTGTCATTCACAAGTAAATGGATGGAACTGGAGAAATCATCTTAAGCAAAGTTAGCCAGGCTCAGAAGGCCAAAAATCTCATGTTTTCCCTCATAGGAGGATTATAGACCCAAAACAAATGCAGTGATATTATTGGACAGGGGAGAATGTGCATGGGAGAAATAGGGAAAGTTAGGAAACCTAAAACTTGAATGTGGTTGATGTACTCACTGTAGAGGAGTGAATATAGTCATCTTAAACTGGCAGAGGCCACTCTGGGAAGGGGACTAGGAAGTAGCGACAAGGTCTGGTAGAGATGAGCCAATGTGGATTGTAATACACATGTGCATGGAAGCAATGCTAGGAATCTCTCTGTACAGCGGTCTTTACCTCAAACTAGCAAAAATGATATGTCTTTCTTGCTATCTCTTATGTTTTCTCTTGAACAAAATCGGAGAAAAAGAGGGCAGAACAGATTCTGCCCGGAAGTGGGGGTGGGGAGGTGGCCCAAAGAATGTATACACATGTGAGTAACTGTAAAAACAATAAAATAAGATTTAAAAAAACTCATAAAATGAGGAAAGGTCTCACTGTTTCAGTCACCACTCTAACTTCTGGAATCCTAGGATCCCAGGGGAGAAAGGTAGGAGATCCACTGTCCTATCTAGGTTTTTGGTAATAGGTATAAAACAGAGAGTCTTTCAATTTTGTAAATTTGATGTTTATGAGGCGATTATGATAAATTAACTCCCTTAATAAATTTCAAATGCCTCTAGTCAAGTGGACCTACCTTTCTTCTATTCCATTGCATCAGCTCTCCTAGGTGCAGCATCAGAGAATAATGGTGAACACACAGTGGATAGCATGCAGGGTTTGAGGATGAGATGTTATATGAGCTATGGTTCCAGATACAGTGGTTAAGTACAGTGTTAAAGACACAGAGTCCACGTGCTCAATGGTTATGTATGCAGTGCTTAAAAATGTGCAGTGGTTAAGTACATCATGCATGATTAGATCTACGTTGGTTCCATGCACAGCGACTAACTTTGCCGAGGTCAGACATGTGGTTTAGGAATACAGCAGGAAGTAATACTGGCTCTAGAATCCAACAAACCTGGACTTCAAATCCAGCTCTTACTTCCTAACTCTTATTTGCATTTTCACCATGTCAAAGATGGGAATTAAACATGGTACCTGTGTTATACTTTCGTTGCCAGGAGCTGACTTAACGTTACGTGCCCTGGTCCTCCACAGAGTAAGTTTACAGTAGAAGGGGCTTCCGTTACAGTCTGCATAATGACGTCCCTATCAATGACAGGTGGTGGTCCCATTAGATGATCATGGAGCTGACAAACTCCTACTGACTAGTGACATCGTGGCACAAGGCATTGTTCATGTGGGTATGGTAAGGCTGTGCTGCCAGTCTCATAAAAGTACAGCACACGTGACTACGCACAGTGCAGGTCATGTGGTAATGATAAGAAATGCCTGTTTACTGGGTTGTGCATTTGCTGTACAATTATTGTTAGGATGTACTCCTACTTACAGAAAGCAAACACTGACTGCCAAACAGTACCCTATGTGCACCACAGGAGCCTCGTGCATCTTGCGTTTACCTCTGCTCCTGATTGTATCATTTTCTCTTCTGCTTGTTTTCATCTTGTGCTGTCTTGTTCACTGCAGCCCTAGGAGCCATAGGCTCCACCTTGTGCATATTTATTCCACCAAGCCCAGGTGTGCAATAGGCTATACCGTCGAGGTTTGTGTAAGCACATCCTAAGATGTTCACACAATGACAAAATCTCCTGAGGGCAAATTCATCAAATGTATCCCCACTGCATGCATATATATGACTGCCATATAACTATTCTGACTTTTATTATCACAATTACTATCATTGTCATCATTATTGTGATATTTTACATGTCAGAGAGTTAGTCACAGATAGGAGGGAGCACTCTACAATTGACATGACATCATTTTTCAGATTTTCATGCCCCAAACTTTCTTTTCCGGCCCCATGAGACTCCAACTAGTGTTTTTCAAGGACTTCCTGTATTCTAGATTCACTGTGAGGACCTGTACATGCCCGATCTAATTAATCCTCACTACCCCCTTGAGAATGAGATTTCAACTTTTCCATTTTATAGTAAAAAAACTGAGACCCAGGGAAGCAAAAGAATTTGCCAGTCACTCAGTTTGCCAGTGGTAGGGTCCAAGTGCGAACACAAGGCTCTACAGAACACAGACTGTCTTTGACCATTTGGAAGACCCTGGTTTTAAAAGTACAAAAACTCCTTCCTCCCCTCTTCTCTCTCCTCTTCCCACATTCTCTTCTATAACAACACTTTCTTCCTGTTTCTTAGAGAATACTTGGCAGATCTGACGCAGAACTTCACTTCTGAAGTTGAGTGAACTTACCTGTTTATCAGTGATGTCATAGCCCAACCAAAGCCAGGAGCTGAGATGGCAGCCTGCAGGGAGGGGGCACTGCTGTACTCTGGTTTCCTAAGTCATTTATTTTTAAAAATTCAGTAATTAGGTCTCCTAGAATCAGAATCCTTAACTAAGGGTCCCTATCCATTGGACGCAGGGGTATAGACCTTCTGAAATGATGATAGAATGTTCAGTGTTCTTAGATGCAGCACCTTTTGCTTTCATCTAACTCTTCAATAGGTGCCCATAATGGATTAGACCTCTACCAAGAATTCCAGGATGTAAGGAGAGAATTTGGATCAGGGTCAGGGATCCTCGGGCTAATCTTGGTCCTGTTATCAACTTGGCTCTATCTATCAACTGGTGTTACACGCTCTGATTCAACGTAAGGAATCTGGGGAGTAGCACTAACCAAGGACAGTGAGTTTATTTTCCACCTGTCACTGGGGTTGGATACCGACCAACAGCACACAAGAGTGGTGTTAAACAGAGCAGTAGGCACCAGAGGAACTCTATCATCTATGGCAGAAGCCAATAAACTATGACCAGTGGGCTAAAACCAGCTTGCTTTCTGTTTTTGTAAATAAAGTTTTCTTGGAACTCAGGTATGTATACCCGTTTCCATAATATCTCCGGTGAGTTTTGTGCCACCATGGCAGATTTGAGTAGCTGTGACAAACATCACTGGGTCCACAGACATAAATATTTACTATCTGGTCTACCACAGAAAACATTCCTGACCCTTGATTTATGAGTCCAAAAGAGGAGCTTGTAAAAGAGAGAGGAGAGATGAGGCCAAAAAGGCAAACTTCACTTCTGACCCTTGAAGTTGAACTTTGAATTGGATTGAGAGGAAGAGGCAGCATCTCACCTGCGTGCTCTGGCAGGACCCAGCTCCCGGCAGGCTTTGCTCTTCTCCCAGCTGTTAGTGCTCAAGGCCTCAGTGGCCAGACGCGGATCCAGCTTTTCTGAAGGTCCATCTTGGACTGGGACCATGGGATTGCTCTGGGGCTCTGTCCTACAGGGGAAGAGATAAGGAGGCAAATTCGTTAGGATGTACAAAGACACCTCATTAAATATTCAGACTTTCTAATATTTTCCAGCTTCCCTTGCAATTAGGTAAGGCCATTAGATTATCTTTGGCCTGTTGTCTCTGAGTGGAAAGACGTATCATTTCCAGTTTAAGGCAATCATGATCCATGTACCTTCTATATCCCTCTCATCCTCTATCACAGTGACTTTAGAGACTACATATTCTGAAGAGCAAAGCTACTCAAAGGAAGAGAGATGCCTCAGCTACATCAGATTTTACGGGAGAGAAATAAACCTTAATTAGATAAAACTACTCAGATATTACTGCACCATAACCTGTCTTATCCAGACTAAAACACAGGCAGATGCTGGAAATCAGAATTTCACTTCCTCTCTCAGACAAAAACAGAAGCTAAAACAGTTCCGTTCCATTTTTCTGCCCTACCTGTCTCCTCTTATCTAAGGTTTACTGACTTGTGGTTAACTATGATCCATAAATATTAAATGGAAAATTCCAGAAATAAAGAAGCCACAAGTTTTAAATATGGACTATTCTGAATAGTGTGATGAAATACAATGCTGTCACACTCCATCTTTCTTAAGACATAAATCATCCATTTGTCTACCATATCCATGTTGCATCACCTAACCACCTGTTGGTCACCTGGCTGTTTTGGTCACCAGATGGACTGTGGTTATGTTCAAAGTAACCCTTATTTTACTTAATAATGGCCCCAAAGTACAAGCAACTAGTGATGCCGGGAATTTGAATATGCCAAAGAGGAACCCATACAAAAAGATGTTTTGAGAGAAGGAGAGAGGGACAGAGAGAGAGAGAGAGAGAGAGAGAGAGAGAGAGAAACTTACCTAACTTTTATTACAGCTTATTGTTGCAACCTGTCTGATTTTATGAATTGTTACTGTTAACCCTATACTGCACCAATCCATAAATTAAACTTTATCATAGGTATGTGCATATGGGAAAAACCACAGTAGATACAGTGTTCGAGACAATGGTTTCAGGCATCCACTGGGCATCTTGGGATGTATCCTTAGTAGATAACAGAGGACGACTGCATACCTGATTTCAAACACTGTCTTCTTCATTCCATCTCAGTTGGGCCTGGGGCCAACTCACTTAATATCTCTGAGTTGCAGTCTCCCCAGTATTAAAACAGGGCACCTATCTGTTCATGTCTTGTTGAGTTGTGAAGACAAAGTGAGATAATTTGTCTATTTGCCTTGCTTTTATTTCCTTATAAATCAGTCATCAATCCAGCTTCCCTGATACGGAGCCACATATTTGGGACAGGAGTTCCCATGAAGGCATGAGATTCCCTCCTTCCACCCAAACATAGGCTCCAAATAATCCTGGGGAGTCATTGATGGGTCCCACCTCTTTTAAGTCCCAGAAAAGGAGAAGAAGTTGCCTAGTCACTCAGCTTTTAAAAAGCCTGTCACTCAAAGTCCTGGCTCCTAACCAAGAAGAGTCAGGAGTTTGAGGGTCACAGGTATACTTGGCACCATTTGGAGAGCTCTGCTCCCTGCTCATCCTGTCTTCAGACCTTCAGGTCAAGCATTGATCAAAAGCATTAGCATTTCTCCTGCACCAGACCCCTTCAGTCAGTGCATTAAGATTGGTTTTATGACTCAGGATGAATGCATCTGATAAGCCCCCGGCTCCGTGGGGCTCTCACCAAGCAAGCCAAGCCTAGTCAATATGGAAGGAAGGACAGAACAACACATCCATCTCTGTCAACTGTTTATCGGCATATCTTTAGAAGCAGAATTGGGAGATACTGCAAGTCCAGGAGGGATGGAGAGTCTAATGAGGACTGACCAGTCCTCTGCCCTGCCGTCCAAGCTTCCAGAACTCCTTTCCATTCTGCTGAACCTTGGTTTTCCCTAAGACTCCCAGCCCCATTTCTTCTTCTCCCAGGACTCCATTTCCATGCCATTTTTCTTTTCCTTCTACCACTTGGAATGTTGTCCTGGCTCTTCCCCAACAACTCAAAAGCTATTTCTGCCCAGCCCCTGGCAAGACTGGCCTCTTCCCACACTTGTGCTGGCCTAGGCTAGCCTGCACCTGTTATTCCAGTCCCTGAGTGTTTATGATGGTGCAGGCCAGATCTGGGTGTGGAATGCAGTGACTCCAACACAGAATGCTGCTATGATTATGGAGTTTACATCCTAGATGGGAGCAGATAACTGACACATAGATAGTAAAAATATGACCTATTGACTGGAAATGAATGTGGTGAGAATAAGGCAACACATAAGGCTAGGAAATGGGGGGAAGTGGCTGATGTTTTGGGCACAGTAATCAGAGAACTCCTTTCTGATGAGAAGCAAGGGAGTGGAGACTTGAAGGATTAAGGGCTAACCTTGAGGCTTGGGATGGTTAAAAATGTGTTCACAGATTCTTTGACACTATGCCATCCAAAGATGCAACTGAATTTCTCTCCCCTTGAGTGCTGGAAGAACTTAGTGACTTACTTGTAATGAATACAGTGGTAGAAGTTATCATGTGAAACTTTTGAACTTGGTTCCTAAAGACAGCATTGCATCTGCCTTTCTCTCTTGGATTGATACCTCTTGGGGATGCCAGTCGCTATGTTGTGAAGACACTCAAAGCAGCCCTGTGGAGAGGCCCACATGAAGAACTGAGGTCTCCCACCAATACCCAACATCATGCCAGCCAGGTGAGTGTTACCTTGGAAGTAGGTCCTCCAGCTCCAGTAGGGCTTTCAGATGAAATCACAGTCTTGGCTGACATCTGACTACAATCTCATGAAAGATAATGAATCAGAGCCCCCAGCCAAATTCCCAACTCCCAGAAACTGTGAAACACTCTTGCTTACTGTTGCTTTCAGCCACAAAGACTTTGGGTAATTTATTGCACAGTCATGTATAACTTCCACACTGGTGTCTGCAGAAAGGGGAAAGTATATTCCAGGAAGAAAGAATAGCGAGGGAAAAGACCCTGAGCATATAAAAAGAACAGCAAGCAAAGGCTAGTGTGGAAAGTGGTGAGGTCAGAGATTAGATCTTTGCCTGCAAAAATGGGAAGGCCCTGGGGGCCTCTGTAGCTGAAATATAAAGCTTTTTGAGCAGAGGACTGGTTGGATCTGGCTTGCATTTTGGAAGGATCACTCCAGCAGTTGAGACTATATTACAGCCTAGGCTCAGCTCAGTGAAACAGCAATGGAAGTAATGACATGCAATCAGGTTCCAAACATTTTTGAAAGTTGTGCTAACATCATTTACTACTGATTAAATGTGGGAAGCAAGAGATGAAGAAAAGAGAAGGAGTCATGGATGTCTCCAAGGCGTGGAGCTTGAGCAACTGGAAGGATGGGGGTCACCACTGATGAGATGGGGAAGGTGTTGCAGGGAGCAAGCTTTTGGGGAAATCTAGCCCTTTTTCTGGGATATGAAAGTTTCTTTACTACAGTGGCTGCAGCTCTTAATGATGTGTTGTCTTCTTTCACGCTAGACTCTGAATCCCTGAGAACAAGACTATGCCTGGCTTCTCCAGAGCCTGCTGCTTAGTAATGCACAGTGTCAGCAACATTTGTTCAGTGAACAAATGAAAAAAGGCAATGGATTGTCTAAAGGGAAAGGGCTTTCGTGTTGCAGTTGGTGGCAATGGAGACCCAGGGACAGTAAATAACCCGGCCAGTGCCTCAGTCTGCTTCCACTGGGCAATATCCATTCTATTTTTTTTTAAAGAAAAGTGACCACAATGCTTATGAACTTATACACAATTTCCACCAAAGCTTTGAGTTGGAGACACATAGGAATAGAATTTCAAACTGGGGTATTCTAAAAAATCAAGACACAAGTCTGCCCCAGAAGCAACCCCATCACAGACAAAAGCAGAGTGGAGGTGAGGCATTTGGCAGTGAGTAAATTCATGGGCAGCCTTTGGGGTTGGGTGGCAGAGCTCAGAGGTGTGTGTGATGGAGGGGAAGAGGCATGAGCTATCTGAAGGGTTGGGGAGGCTGGCGATGCTCTGCCAGGCACACGGCACAAGCCTCAGTGTGCAGACATTTCCCCGTGATTGTCCATAGGAAGGGCTGGGCTTGGTGAAGAAGGACATAGTAGGTAATATTTACCTCCAACAGTACTGATTTCCCCTTCCTGGGGTTGGGAACTTCCTATCTGGGACTTTGCAATAAAACAAACAGAAATATAATAAATTCTACAGGAAGTGTTGAGGGGAGGAAGAAAGGAATTCTTCATAATGTCACATTTAAGATCTTCTTCCAAGATGTTCAACAGTTTGCTTCTCAGCTTTCTCAAAGCTGAAAGAGACTCAGAGAACAAGTAGTCCAGTGTTTCCCAAGTCTGCCACGGCATTGTAAGCTCCCAAAGATATTTTAAAAATACAGATTCCTAGGTTCCAACCTAGCTGTAATAAATGAGTCTGCAAAGGGTGAACCCAGGAATCTGTTACAGAAATATCCTAGGCAATTCAATCTTCTATCAGATCAAGGGTAAAGTCTAAAGTCTGAATGATGTAGCCTCAGCCCCACTCTCACCCACGTCTCCTACCCATCTCTCTGTCCACTGCTCTAGCCACATGGCCTTCTTGGTGTTTCTCAAATAGGTCAAAAACTTTCCTGCCTCTGGGCCTTTGTTCTTGTTGTTCCCTCCACCTGGCTTGCAGCTCCTCCAGCAATATGCACCAGCAGCTCTCCCTGACCTTCTGATCTCACCTTGCTCAATGAATGTTTATGTAATGGATGGGTGGATGGATGGATGGATGAGTAGGTGAGTGGGTGGGTGGATGAATGGGTGGATGGATGAATGGATGGATGAATGCATAGGTGGGTGGATGGGTGGATGAATGGATGGATGGATAAATAAGTGAATTCTGATGGTCAATCCCATGTGGGATTCATAAATCAGGCTCAACCTCTTCCTACACAGGTCCTGGTACAGCAATGCAACATCACACTGCCCTTGAGAAGAATCAGACCT